GAGCGCAATGAGACCGAGATCGCCATTGCCTTGGGACGAAGAACTGGAGTCGTCTTTACGTGCGTTTCCGTAAATATTGTAAACATATCTCGTTTTGATTATTAGTCCTATCTGATACTGAATAGCAAACCTGGCCACACTCTCGCGGTAAGTTACAGTGCTGGAACATGCAAAACTGATTTTCTAGATTTATTTGAAGTGGGTTAAATCTATTTGGCCCTAGCTGTAGATCAATTCACTCGTTAAACTCTGCTTCAGATGGAGATATTTTTTTGTGTGTTGCCCGTGAGAAGGCACACATTTCACATTAGCAGAGATCATTGTCATCATGAGCACCCTCCATCGTGCCTATGACAGCAACAAAGAGCTTACGGAATATTTTAGACTTCTGTTTGCTTTCTGTATAATGGGGGAACACTGTAACAAAAACAGTGATTGTAAAGACTATTGGCTTATTTCAAGCAATTTCCTCCGAATATTTTTGCACGTAGACAGGAGACGTCTTCAACTTCGAATCATTCACCTGATTTAAAAGATGCACATGCATCATGCAATGTCTCTTTGGAGAACTCAAGTCGTTTGTACATGTCTCACTTTTGATGCAAGACTTTGGGGTTCTCCAGGAAACTACCATAGAATACCGTGCATCCACCCATTCCACGGTAAGCGCCCACCCCCAAAATTTGCAACATCTGAAAAAATATGCACAGTGCGTATATATGTAGAATTGATGTCCTCACCTGCGCCCATCCCCTATTTTTCCGCTATTATCTTCAAACTTTGAGTGGGCGCTTGCTCAAGATTTTGCGGTATGTGAACCATGGATTATTTACTCCAGAAACACTTTGAAAAGTCATTAGAAAAATGTGCTACATGAAGAACTTATAAAATCCAGGAACTCAAACAGGTTTAGAATTTTGTGTCTTTTCGTAATAAGCTACTGATAAAATTATGCAATGCAAAAGTTATGTTGTACTGTATGACTATTTTCGCAGGCTCAATATTTCTCAAATTCTGCAAAGTGCAGGTTCCGTAAAATATTCTGCAAGTACAACGTTTCGTGATTGGGAGTGGTGTGCTATATGTTCGTAACCATGGGATAATATTTATTGAACCAGAAATTCAGGAAAGTTAAGTTGTTTACTGTGTTTTGGAAGTTAATTTCTTTCTGCCAGAGGTGATATAGAGGTTGACTGAAAAAAATATTAATTTAGCACTGAATTACTAAGTTTATTACTCACACCTTTTGATAGAATTTCAAGTAGTAACCAGAAGCTAAGCGGTACATCCCTGGCGAACACATTCATTTCTTTGTAAATGTTCATGATAAAGTACAAGGTTCCTGAACATGTGAAACTCTTATGAGACGCCTGAAAAATAAAATCTATTCTTTCAGGTATCCCATATAGAAGCACACTTGGTCCACAATAATATGTAACTGGCATTAATTTGAACATAAAATTTGTAAAATGTGCCGAAAAACATTGCCACCCTCTTTTTAGGTGAAAACTCGAAATATATTATGGATACGGAAAATAAATTATTTTATACAAATTACATAAAAGGTCCGAGTAATCTCTTGAAAATTAATGCTACAAAAACTAGGCAGTTCTTTTTTGTCAAAAACAATATAAGGTGGTATATATTTCTAGGCAGCTTATTTATAATTTTAATGTTTATAGAAATTACCAGCTCATTTAAAACCTTTCAGGCCATACATTATGTTGCACCAAAATGGACCTGGACAATGCTCTTTGTTATCTCTTGTGCCAGCTGTCTTTGAAAAATTCATTTCTCCTGCATATTTTACCTGCTGCCCATCACTGAACATGTGCTATGTCAGAACCAAGATTGCGGAGCTTTTTGCGAGATCAGATTGTTGGAAAAGAAAACATACTTTCGTATCTTAAAATGTTTCAATTAAATGAATACCTCGCAACTCCTGTGTCCTTATGGGCACACGGGCAATTCACATTCATCGTTAGTAGGGCTGGGAATCCCATGAAAATGCTTTTTTCTTCGTTGATATCCGGGAGTATGCGGACCTTGATATCCGCGCAACATAGGTATTAATGAATAAGTTTACGACATACAAGTGGACATCTTGAACTTTTTCATAAATCTTCCTAATTTGCACAACTTCCATTTATGAAAGTTGAGCAAATATTTGCTTTTTTGTTTTCTTTTCCCACCACACTAACACTGAAAATAATGAAGAGCCAGTATAATCCGTACAGGTATTGGACTCGAAAGTTTGCAAATTATTTTATGGAGGAAGTAGGCCATGCCAGCATCAGCCATGCCAGCATCAGCTATGCCAGCATACCTAATCATATCCTTTCCAGAATGGCGTCTCTCAGTTTTTCTCTCTCAGTTCGTTTCAGGAGTAAACAAGCCTGGGGTCCGATTTTATCCCCGCGAGATCTAATTTACCTCCTGCGGAACAAGCGAATATAGCATTCATAAACAAACTGGTTCGCCTGCTAGCATGAGCGAAGAATGCAGTCCATCTGCCACAAAGCGTCATTAGCAGACAAAAATAAAATAAGAAAATGCCTAATGTCAACTGCTAACAGATAGGAAAAAAAATTTATTGTCTGCTATGAACCGAGTGTTGTGGCGAAGTTAGATTGAAAACGGGTTGAAATTGTGATTGTCTGCTATTTCACATTGGAAGCCATTGAAAACCTGCGCTTCTTTTGAAAATCTCAAGTTGTTGCCGTACACAAGCTGACATTGACTGACAGGTGAAGGAGTACTAAGGACATGAACATCAGAGTCCACGAGACTTCTCTCACTATACTTGTATGTTGGTAAGACATTCTCACCAAAATAGTGCCCAACCGTGAAGTTGTGAATGGATGAAGAATGCTTCATTGGGTCGATTCCGCGCAAGCTGTGGCACCACGTCCGAGCAGCAAGTGAGAATGCTCTTGCTCTCTTCTTGACCGAAATCGGACCCTTGCTGAAATCTAGTAGGTCGGGATCAACTTGGGATCAACTTTCTGTGGCAATGAAGAGAAAGCTAAGAGCTAACGGTTCTGTATTAGTGCGACAAGTAGCGCTGGACCTTTTTGGTTTTGGTTTCAGTTTGGGTTTTAACATGACAGACACGCATTTGCTACAGTTCACCTCTTTGCATGAGGATCGCAGTTGGGGTGCTAGAGTGCGATCGCTGAGCACATCCACGTTTCTTTCCCAACTTTTCACTTGTTTCTACAGATGAGCCAACACTTTGACTGAAGCACTTGGACCGACTTACAAGGTAAATTACACCGTGGTTGATCTCGTCAAAGTCCATTTGTCTCGCGACTGATACAGATATGCAGCGTCGATTTAAGAAATGTCATGAATTTCATCGGTGCTGTGCTGCAGTTTTGAGAACATTGATACGTAAACTCTTCTGGTGCTGAAGACTCATAGCGTGGGCACGATACATCGAAAAGCGAGACAACACACTATGGAACGAAGTCAAATCCCATTTGGATAGCAATCAGTTACCGCTGGCCCTAGGGGAGTCGGTGGAGCACCACAGCTCGGAACACATATAGTGAAAGCTCGCGCTTCAGAACACAGGGATCCTGGGCTCAAACCCCACACTTGCTCGCTTATGCCAGTGAGTTTGCTAATCAGTCGGTATATGAAAACAATGGAGAGCTCCATATCCCTTTGTCTCACTGGAGCGTACACGTTGCACATCACTCGCTTGATTCGTTTTGACAACTTTTGGTTGCCAAACTTTGGAAAAATCCTACCGGGCAAAGAAAGGGGTGGCCTCAGGGAAGGTACCGACAATACACCATACCGACGAAGCACACAACACGAGAAAGAGGCCAGGTTTGTTTTGCAGGAAACCAGAAAACCTGTGGCGAACTTAGGAGCAAAACAAGAAGTGCTATAAGTTTGACACCTCTTGGCTAACATTGTGCAATCAAAGCTAAAAATAACAGTTGTATGTGCAATTGGTTAAGTTGCACTTAGCAAATTATTCTGGTTTAACTACATTCAGCTGTGCAGTGAAACAGTGTGCTTTGGCTCTGTAGCTTTGGATGCAATGCCACAGAAAGTTGACCTCAAGTACAGAGGTAACTTTGGTGATATGAAACAAGAAGACCACAAAAGGGAGGAGAGACCACTCTTTGCCAGTGTCCAACCATCAGCCCAGGGCCCTAGCAAAGGCTGCAACAGATAACCAATGGTTCCCTTTGGGAGCAAGATGGAAAGCTATGGGAGCAAGCGCCGTGCTTTTAACTTGGGCTTTACAACTTTTTAAAGGCCGACGTACACTTCACACTCTCCCCTCTTGCCCGCCTCCTCCTTTCCTATATCCTCTCCACTTTTTACCTTGCCCCAACTTGGCTCCCCTCGCAGCTTTGGAGAGGGAAGCGTTAAGAGGAATATCTTCCCTGCAGAAGACCAGGGTTGTACGTTGGTCTTTAATGCAAAAAGGGCTGTAAAATTTCTTTCAGAGAGTTTGGGTAAAGATCAAACAATGAACAATAATGAAAAAACGGTCTCTCTTCTTGATGGCTTGATGGAAGACAAAAGCTGTACTGCTACATCATTGCTGAGAATTTAGAACATCATTGTAATCCATGGCATGAGCGAATTGATTGAGAGAGGCTAATTAATATACATTCGCATTTTCAGTCCCAGATTATGATACACACCAAACTAAACAAACTGTCACACACTAAGGATTTCAAGCCAGTGTTTTTTGTTTTCCATTATATGAAAGCATGTCGAAAAGAAAACAAGAACTAAACAAGAAAATATTTGTCAGGCAATTCTTGACAAGGCTCTACACATGAGAATTTGTCGTAGAGGGATATCCGTGTTGCACCAAACACGCGGATCATTTTTTACCAATGGCCAAGAAGTGCGGCAAAGAAGAAATTTGTTAGAAACTGCCGAACAAAAGGAACTAGTTGCACATTTCCATCCCCTCAACAACAAAGACCACAGTGGCAACTCCAGAGCTGGAGGACTTGAGGGCCCACCTTGCCGTCAAAGCGAGTGTACTCGTTGAAGGGGTTGTTGGGTGCCACGGGAAACTGGTCCAACTGACGAGCCAGTGCAGAGGACCTCCGGGCGGTGGCCACGTCTGGGACATCCCGCGACCGGCCGCTGCTCCTAAGGGGGTCCTTGCGCGGAAACAGCGCCTCCAGTTCAGAGGCTGTTTGGGGTCGGTAGAGCAAAGGGAATGGAGGTATGATGCTTAGTGATGGGCTCCATTCAAAAAGACACTTATGATATAAAGCATGATACCTTCGCTAGAGTGTTGTTGCATCGGACATCAGGGTACAAAACAAAAGCAATAAATATCAACCTAATTACCTAAAATCCCATAACAAACTTTTTAAATATTATTCTTATCTGGCAGATTCCAATCAGAGATTCATTGCTTATCACCCAAAGATGCCATAGCAGCTCCAAGAAGTCAGAAGATTAGATTCTTTGTGCTATTCAATCGTTACGTTAGGCTGTATAATCTGCTATAGCAGGGGTGGCCAAGCTGCGGCTCCTCGCTTGCTAAAGTGCGGCTTGTGGCTCCCTCTCCTACCCCCCCCCCCTCCAAAAAAAAAAAGGATTGGAACACGTTTGAAATGGAAAGACAGGTTGAGGTTCGGTAGTCCTGTGACACTGCTACCTTATGCATAATTGGACTGCTTTTGACGCACAGAGATTGAAAGGAAGTTTGACCCCCCCCCCCCCCCCCCCGCGGCTCTTGGAAGTTTCGTGCTTTTGTTTGCGGCTCTTAGGCCGGGTCAGCCTGGCCACCCCTGTGCTATAGTATCTGTTCAAATAAGATCATGCATGCGTGTCCGGTTGACAATTTTGTTTTTCTCCATACTATCTTATTCCCCAATGTATACAAACAAATTTTTTTTTAGAAAAACAAAATTTAAGATTGCACTTGAACGGCAACCCCTTTTTAATGTTTTGTTATTTTTGCGAAGTTACACGGCACGTAATAGACAAAGTACAAATAATGGAACACAAATTTTTTTAATCAAAATAGTAGTGTATAGTATTGTAGTCTGAAAATATAGCATTAGAATTTTTTTCATACATTGTTTACATAAGGTTTGATTGTCTGTATATAATTTGTTGCTCTAGTTTATAAAGAAATATCTACAGTGCTCAAACATGCCTCAAGGTAAAAAGCTGCACAATTTCAAAATCCATAAAAAGAAAATCGTTTTTTTTTAATTTTATTACATTAATCATTGTTTTTTCACTAAAACATGTTGCATTATTTTGTCTGCCTAGAATATAGCGCTTCGAAAAGCATGCATATGGCTACTTTGACATTTCAACTTTATATTTATGATTTCCTAACTCGTAGTGTTTTTAAGATGTACTGTAACAGGGTAGCTTGCTGGGATGGTTGGTTGAACGACATAGTGAAAAACAGTGCAAAAAAGACGGGAAATATGCTGACTAACAACCGAAGGTTTAGTGACACTTCTATGCGTGCACAGTGGCACGCGCAAGTATATGCTCTTCTTTTTCTTTCAACGTAAATAAATGACAATAAAGAGAAAAAGAAAATTTGGAAAAGGAGTGTGAGAAGAAAAGAAAATTCTACTGCAACACAAGAAAACCCTAATGATGCATTCGCACCAAGATCTGGACCACATCGGGACGTTGCAAAATGCGTTGATAAAAAAAAATAGTCAGAAAAATTATTTTTTGACAACGGCACGAGCAAACGTTAAGCTCATGCGCTGCGTCCATACCACGTTCGCACCGTGTTCAGGACACATTTTAGACCTTTACGGATAGCGTGTGACACTATACTAGGGACGGCCACAATTACGAAATTATGGTTTCCTGTTCGTCAGATGCTGCCCCCCCAGCATTTTATATTTGATAAAGTTTGTCATATTAATTCATTCGTCACAAGTTTCCGCAGAAAAAAATTTTCTTGTATCTGTGTATAATACAAATTTTGCCGTATTAATAATGTTCATTAATGTACAAATTAAGAAAAAGGTCCCAATGAGCTTCCTTGTGGAACACCTAGTGCAATAGACCTTAGAGTGGAAGAACGACCGTTAATGTTAACATATTGCTGGTAAAGTTGTCTACGGCATTTGCGGACATGCAGGGCATGTCCGCAAATGCCGTAGATTTCAAGCTTTTTGAATAAGATTTCGTGACTAAGACAGTGAAATGCTTTTGGAACATCTAGGAACACACCAAGAACTAATTTTTTGCTTTCAGACTGTTTCAAAATAAATTCCTTTTAATCAAGTAGGGCTGTCTCTGTTGAACAGTTTTTCCTAAGACCAAATTGCGATGAAGTAATGAAGCCACATTTATTTGAAAAGTCTACTAAGCGATGATAGAGCAACTTTTCCAAGGTCTGAAAAATACAAGCAATATAGAAATAGGTCTATTCACCTCGATATCGAACCGAGTTGCCACCGTGCAGCCCAAAATGGAAACATGTGAAAGCGGGGAAACCACCGTGCTTTGTCTGCTACGGGCGCGCGCACGTTCAGAAGCATGGATCTTGACGACGCAAGTGCGCTTCTGGCTGAGCTGGGCCCTCCTTGAAATGCTTGTTGTTTCTGTTGTTGGTTTGTCTTACTAAAAGTTGTGTTGTGTCGTTTCACGCGCATGGAAATTCAGCAAAGCAATTAATATTAAGTTGTATGCTATCGGAATTTAGTGTTGTGGTATGTGGAACCGCTGGTCCCACATACTTTTGTTATCCTGCACAATCCATAGCTTTCATAAAACATTGAATGATGATTGGGTATATTAAAAGCTTAACCCGGCTGATCACCACACTTTAATAAACTAATCAACTGTAAATCCATGGTTTAATTTGTCTCCAGTCATATTGCATAAAAGAAGTTTAAACTACAATTTTTTTTTACTATTTTTACTCTGTCTTGAATGGCATATTGCAGTCCAATTTTAAACTTCACATTGTAACACCTGCAGAAGTATGAACACTAGAAGCCTTTTAAGGTTTAGTAATTTTTAAGTTATTATTTCAGGGGGGACACTAGACAGAAAAAACAATTTCTACAAAACAAGTTGACTTTGAAAAAAAAAATAAAAAAAAAATATTTACATCCACCAACACCTAGAGAGTATTCCCAGAAAGTTTCATTAGTTTACAGTGCATAGTTAATTTTTTATAAATTACTTCGGTCCACCGATGCAAAAGGAAAGGTAGGGGTTGGAGCACTTCGAATGCATTTTTCTATGTGCCACTTTTCTTGATAAATTTCACTTTAGGAAAACTATTGTTTTTTTATTACACAATAGAGAATTATTCTTAGGTGGTTTTCTGGGATAGAATATTGTGAGGAACATGCCCCTGGTTGGTCAGTTCTTCTACTTTAACATTCTTTTATGATAAAAAAAAAAACTACATTTGTAAAAAAAGTGCAGACATGAAAAAAAAAGTAATCTTCTTATGGAGTTATACTTATGGAAAACAATGCAATATAGCAAAATAGCTAGCTGGGTATGGGCATTCCTTTGACTATATTACATATAAAAATCACATATTTTTATTTCATTTTAAAACAATAGCTTTCCTAAGCGAACACGCTGACTTCCTTATTATAACATATGTAACAAGTTTCAGAATTGACATAGAACAATGAAATTCGGCACGAATGGGCCTGCCACGGATATAAACTTCCTCTGCAAATTTAATTAAAATCAAGCAAGCGGTACAGACAGAAGTTGACTTTGCTGGGTAGTGCCCCCCTTAAACACTATAATCACCCTAATGGCAATTACAAGCAATCTGAAGTGATTTACTGTGCAAGCCTGTGTCCTAAAAAAAATAAAAACGTCAAAATATTAAAGCAGGCATTTTTTTTTTTTCTTGACTTTTTACAAAACAAAATTTCAATTAAACGACAAAAAAATATATTTCAATTAAACGGCAAAAAACCATTTTGATTCAAGCAATACTTGAATATTCTGAGAGTTAATCAATGAACTGCCAAGTCCTGATATGTGTTGGGTGAGGGCGGAGGGTGATCGGAAAGTCTCAGGAGAACGTCGCTGCAGCCGATGCTGTCTGTGACGTGATGCGCGTCGTTTGTTGGAGTTGCAGAGTCTACTACGTAGGAATAGAAGAATATTTCGCCAGAAATTTATAATATTATCCTCTTGAGACCCGCGGCCCTCCAACATGCATGCTGCTGCACTGCTCATTTACACTTGTTTATTCCACTCTTGGCAGATGTATTAGAACAGTTTGTTTCAATTGTTTCAGTTGTCCTGCCAACAAACAGTTTGTGGATTGTAAACAGAAGAGGCACTCTCTTCATCGCAAAGTATTAGAATTATTACGAGTCCGAAAAACTTACCAACACCATGTCACAAAAAAGGAAAAGATTGGCTGCAGCGAAACCTTTTTACTCGTAGAAGCAAGAAATATCACGGTAATTTCCAATACAACACTAACTTTTCTTAATGCGAAATATTTATATTACTGCGAAAGCTAAAAGTAAGAAAAAAAAATTCATAGAACCTGCGATTTCACAACCTTCAGTACCAGCATTATGCAAGTATCCAGGTTGGAATTCCTTGTTTAAGTGAATTTCCACGCTAGTGAACCGATATCTCTTTTTAAGTAAACAAATATTTAGCATAAATAGGTGGTATTCACTGGGCGCCATACTTGAGCACAGTGTTTACGGCACATGGTCAGAATGATACCCCACTTATCTTCTAAGAGGACTTACAATCTTGGCGGTGTGAACTGCACATTGCGGAAGCATTGGGGAAGCTCATCGTGAGCTCGCGCTCTGCGGTAGCGGGCTCAACTATGGCCTCCAATGAATACCACCTATAGTGCTGTACACCCGAAAACAGGCATCCGTCGTGGTGATTTATGCTTCTCAAAGTCTGCCTAGAACAGACAACGCATCAACAGAAGCGATTATTTAAATTAGGCCGTACGCTGATAACACGATTCAATCTTCACGGAAGCACCAAACGGTACTGCACAATTTTCTGCTAAAAACGCAAAAATCTACACCGCCTCGCGCGCGAACGTGGAGAGCCTATGGGGCGGCCATTCTTCTATCCTTGCTATGATGATGATGGTAGCGTCATAGTTGTGCCACCTCCAGTTCGATCTCGAGGCCAATAGTCACCTAACTGATTTTTATCTTCCTTTTTGTACAGTAC